ACAGAGGTGTCATATGAGCACAAAGTGCTTGACTTTTAAATAATTTTTAATTGAATATAATTTTTAAAATTTTTGGTGTGGTGAGGTGGGCTTTGGCAAACTCCACTCCTTTAGTCCCCTTTGACAATACTATGGGTGTGTTTGGTTCGCACATATGAATCGGAATCGGAATGAGTATCAAATACTTGGTAATAGTAATGAATTTTAGTGAAAGTATTTTGAATGTTTGGTAATAGGGTGGAATATGAATGATTATCAATTGAATAATGTTGTTTGGTTATGTATGATTTTATAATGGAAATAAAGATTTTAAAAATACAACGACACAAAATCAAGACAATTAATTCTAATATAAAGACATCCAAAATACTAATATGAACAAAAAAAATAAAAACAAAAATCTAAAAGCACTAATCAAAGAGGGTGAGAAGGAATAAGGGAATGACACCTTATTTTATTTGGGGGTGGGTTTTTCAATTAAGGGGGTATTTGAAACCCATAATAATGTTTTAAAAACCTATCAACCAAACAATACCAATCACTTTGATATCCATTCCTTAGAGCTAAACATGTCAACCAAACACACCCTAAGTTGTTATACCATGGATTGAGGTGGACCTTGGTCTTAACTTGTGTATTTTTAGTACTGGAATTGTGAACATTTAGAATATAAATTGTGTTTCTAAGTTTTGAGAATTTTTTATTACAATACATGGTCATCACAAATTGTAAATATTTTAAAGATAAATTGTAAACATTTAGATTATAAATTGTGTATCTTTTGATCTGGTCCACCCAATAATTTGCCGACAATACTAGCCTGCATAGTTTGAGATCGCAAATTATGCCCTGGAAACGTGTTCACCGTGAATGGTGAACACAAGTCCAAACGACGTCGTTTTTACGCAAAAATAAATAAATAAATAAATTGCGGATGTGGAGTTAACGGCGCGCGTTTGATCAAATTATAATTTTCTGTTAGGAGATTATGAATGTAATGTAAAGTCATAATCTTATAACAGAAATCATAATCGCATAAAAGTAAAATATTTATTAAATTATGAATTTTCTGTTATGAGATTATGAATGTAATGTAGATTCATAATCTCATAACAGAAAATTCATAATTTCATAACAGAAAATTCATAATTTCATAACAGAAAATTCATAATCTCATAACTGAAAATTCATAATCTTATAACAGAAAATTCATAATCTCATGGTTCCAAAGTGAATGTGTAGGCATGGTTCCAAAGTGAATGTGTAGACATGGATTCATAATTTATGAATGTCCGTGATTTCGGACGGGAATGTGTAGGCATGGTTCCAAAGTGAATGTGCAAGCATGAATTCATAATTTATGAATATCCGAAATCATTGCTCACCTCAAATTAAAGTGAAATCGCGAAATGTGAAAATGAAGAAGAAAAGTCTCGCAATTAATTAAGAAAAAAAAAAAAAAGATAACGGTGTACTAACACCGTTGGAACGGTTCCATGGCATAACGATTGGTTTGAGATGAAACTAATCTAACAAATTTTAGGCAACGTAATTTTTTTTTACCTACTTCATTACTACCCATAACCCATTTCGTTCGGAATCAAACTAATCCAATTGATCGAGGATTAAATTTCGTGGGACAATTATAAGGGGTCTAAAAAGCCCACCTCCTGGCGGGTGTAATAATTAAGAACCCGTCCCCTACTTACAGTGAGATGGGTTGGGTCGATGCGGCGAGTAAAACCCATTTTGACGGCTCTATTCGTGCGTCTGATCTTAAAATTCATATATACTCCCAAGCTTCCTCAGCTCGCAATTTAATTAGCAGACTTTTTGGATTAAGTTTTTTTTTTTTTTTTTGGGATGGAACAGTTGAGTCATCCCTCTGCTATAAGCATCTCTGATGATATAGTGAATTCCTCAAAAGGAAAAAAGATCGCTATGTTTCTTGATTATGATGGTACTCTTTCCCCATTGTTCTAGACCCCGACAAAGCTTTCATGGGCTCTGAGGTTGGTTCAACATTAGAATTGTTTTATAATTTCATCTTTAATTTTATTATCTAAATATATAATAAAAAAATATTCGTGTATCGCACAGACATCGAACATGTAATTGAGCAATTATTTGCTCGAATTCAAGCAAGGATAATATTAGAAAGCATAATTGATACAACTCATTTCATTAATTGCATTTCGTTGTTATAATTTATATTTGTATATCGATCCAAATATTTTTAAAGTATTATAACAAATTTATTTCGTGCAACGTACGGATAAAAATACTTAGTTTTAATTAAAAAATATTATACATTTCACTTCATTGTATTAGTATATTACACCGTACTTATTCAAACTATTTTATTATTAATTGAATATAATTTTTAAATTTTTTGGTGAGATGAAACTAATCTAACAAATTTAAGTCAACGTAGTTTTTTTACCTACTTTATTGCTACCCATTTCGTTCGGAATAAAAATAATTAACCCAACCGATGAAGGATTAAATTTCATGGGACAATTATAAGGGCTCTTACTTCCCCTCTCCCTTTTGCTTCTATAACGTTTATAATTGGCAACACCGTAATACCAAACTAGAATTGTACACTTTGAGTTAGATAAATGCTACGTTTATACTTTATATGACAAGTAAACCATCCATTGACATGTAAAAGTGTGGTCTTATATGCAAAAAATCAAAATATATACCAACCAAAATAACGGTAAGAGAAATAAATTTGTTATATATATATTTATAAAATATTGAATAAAATTGGTAAATTGCCAGTGATCCAGAAAAAGAATCCTAATTTGTTACAAGAAGAAGAATTCTACTTTCTGATCTCTAGGTTACATTTATTTTTCTTGATATCATAGAATATAATTATTATTTTCCTAAGTTAAATATTAGAGCAAATATGAAAACAATTTATCTACCTGTTGAGCCTACATGGGTATATGTAGCTCAACTGGTCATAGAACAAGTCACGCACTCATATTCCGGAAATATAGAAACAAAGAAATTGCACGATCGAACTGTCAAAAAAAAAAAAAGAATGATTTCGAAATCCGAGCTCAAAATGATCCCTTTTGGATTCAAAAGCAAGGACTTTGTGATTCTTATAGATTTAATTCATGGAAATTCCATCCAATAAAACGGAAGAATTATAAATCTCCAAAATAATAGATAGAAATACCGTGAATAGTCCCATTGCCACACCCATCAAAGGAGTCCCCACACGGGAGCTACTTTACCATATTCCGAATTCAATGGTTTTAATAAATTACCTACAACAGTTCGTATTGGACCAGATCTAGAACTGTTCTCAACAGTTTGTGTAGCCATAAATCCTATTGTATAGAGGTGAAAGTTTGGAAGAATTTATCTACCTATTAAATTCTGAAGAAGTTCAAACTTTTTTTTTAACTACTAGACGTGTTACTTGACTTTTTTTTTGCATGCTACTGACTCTATTACAATGTAGTATCTGTACGTGTTACTTACTTAGATAAACGATACGTCTCTTAAATTTGAATGTACTAGCGCGTGAAAGCGATGCAAATCATCAAAGTATATACCCACCATATATAAGTATATATGGTGTATTCTGAAACCTGTCAGACCACACCTCTGAACTATATAAGTCTGTTGTTATTACGAGGTTGTTGAATTGCGAAACATGAAGACGACGATGAAGAAATGTTGAGTTGTGGAAAAGGTTGTTTTGGTATGGGTGTTATTGTTGCTTTTGATTTCCAGTCTTGTGGCGGCAGAATGCAAGTGCGGCGGCGATGAAAAGGATGACGGTGAAATTCACAACAAGAAGTTAGCGCTGAAGTATCAATGCATTGTTCGAATCCATGAGGGATTCGTGCGTGTGATCTTGAAATTCATATATACTCCCAATCTTCCTCAGCTTGCAATTTAATTAGCAGACCTTTAAGATTAAGTTTTATTTTTTTGGATGGAACAGTTGTGTCATCCCTATGCTATAAGCATCTTTGATGATAAGTGAATTCCTCAAAAGGAAAGAAGATTGCTATATTTCTTGACTATGATGGCACTCTTTCCCCCATTATTCTAGACCCGGACAAATTAAATCTGGCTCTGAGGTTGGTTCAACATTAGAATTATTTTATAATTTTATCTTTAATTTTATTATTTAAATATATAATAAAAAAATTATTCGTGTATTGCACGCACATCGCACGCGCATCGAACGGGTAATTGAGCATTTATTTACTCGAATTTAAGCAAGGATAATATTAGAAAACATAATCGATACAACTCATTTCATTAATTGCATTTCGTTGTTATAATTTATATTTGTATATCGATCTAAATATTTTAAAGTATTATAACAAATTTATTTCGTGCATATTAGACGTGTTACTTGACTTAGTCGTCCCCACTTGGGAGCTACTTTACCATATTTCAAATTCAATGATTTTAATAAATTACCTACAGCAATTCGTCTTGGACCAGATCTAAAACTGTTCTCAATAGTTTGTGTAGCCATAAATCCTATTGTATAGAGGTAAAAATTTGAAAGAATTTATCTACCTGTTAAATTCTGAAGAAGTTCAAACAATTTTTTAGCTACTAAACGTGTTACTTGACTTAGATAAATGATACGTCTCTTAAATTTGAAAGTACTAGCGCGTGAAAGCGATGCAAATCATCAAAGTATATACCCACCATATATAAGTGTATATATATGGTGTATATATTGTTCCCTATATGGTGTATATATATTTTGATGATCTGCATCATTTCATCGGGGCGACACGTGGCATGTCATGTCGACATTATGTTCCAGGTGAAGCAAGTTGACTGGGTTTTTCTCCTTCTCCATTCAGTTTTTCTCTCCGTTCATATCCCAAAATGTCACCATTCTGTCTTCACTTCACTTTCATATACCCATACGTAATCCATCTACATACGCCATTATTGCCGCATTACTCAAACAAACCATTGTATAGTATATATATATATATACAGATGGATCGGAGTAATACAATTAATTCATTTAATCATTTCATATCATAGATCTCTATAATATTCTCTTATCTTTTTCTTTATTTTTCCACCGGTCCCTGAAGTACCCACTGGAATCACTAAAAAGATATTCTGAAACCTGTCAGACCCATACACATCTGAACTATTATATAAGTCTGTTGTTATTACGAGGTTGTTGAATTGCGAAACATGAAGACGACGATGAGGAAATGTTGGGTTGTGGAAAAGGTTGTTTTGGTAGGGTTGTTGTTGTTGCTTTTGATTCCCAGTCTTGTGGCGGCGGAATGCAAGTGCGGCGGCGATGAAGAGGATGACGGTGAAGTTCACGACAAGAAGTTAGCGCTCAAGTATAAACTTGCGGCTATAGCGTCTATCTTGGTGGCGAGTGCCATCGGAGTTTCGTTGCCGGTGGTGGGTCGGAGGATTCCGGCGCTGAGCCCGGAGGGGAGTTTCTTCTTCATGGTGAAGGCGTTCGCCGCCGGCGTGATATTGGCGACTGGGTTTATTCACGTGCTCCCTGACGCGTTCGAGAACCTGACGTCGGATAAGCTCAGCAAGCACCCTTGGCGGGATTTTCCGTTCTGTGGGTTTGTGGCCATGGTGGCGGCCATAGGGACTCTTATGGTGGACTCGTTTGCGACGTCTTATTTTTCCGGGAGGTCCGGTGAGAAAGTGACCGCCGGTCATGAGGCGGGCGATGCCGAGGTTGGACCGGGAGTGGTTCCGGTTCACACGCATGCAACGCACGGCCATGCCCACGGTCATGTTAGTGTTACGGACACGGATTCTTCTTCCCAACTTCTTCGACACCGAGTTATTTCACAGGTGCAAAGCCAATATTTATTAATTTGTTTTTTTTTTTTTGTCTAAATTTGTTTTTCTTCCATTTACTGGAAACACCTATTTGAACTAATGTTGCAAAAATCTCGATTAAAGTGCATATCATCATAATTGATGGTAAAGGCGGTTGATCGGCTAGACCGCTTAGGCGTCACTGAATGCGCCTAGGAAGCCTAGGTGCTGACTAGGCCTCTTAGGCATTGCACTGACTAGGTCGCCCAGGCACCGATTAGGGTTACAATATCACTATAACTGGTGGTAAAGACGATTGGCCGACTAGACTGCCTTAAGTGTCGTTGAATGCCTTGGAAGCCTAGGGGCTGACTAGGCCTCTTAGGCACTAACTAGGTCGCCCAGACACCGATTAGAGTTATAATATCACCATAATTGATGGTAAAAGCGGTTGGCCGACTAGACCGCCTAAACGTCACTAAACACCTAGGCCTCTTAGGCATTAACTAGGTCACTCAGGCACTGATTAAGGTTATAATATCACCATAATTGGTGGTAAAAGCAGTTGGCTTACTAGACAGCCTAAACGTCGCTAAACACCTAGGCCTCTTAGGCATGGACTGGGCCGTCTAGGCACTGATTAGGGTTACAAAATTTGCAATATGTATAACTAATAATTTTATATGCAGGTCTTGGAGTTGGGAATTATAGTTCACTCTGTTATCATCGGAATTGCTTTGGGTGCTTCCGATACACCCAAAACAATTAAGCCACTGGTGGCAGCTTTGACTTTCCATCAATTCTTTGAGGGCATGGGGCTGGGTGGGTGCATAGCCCAGGTACTTTTTTCATAACTCAATAATTTTATATTATTATTATTATTATTATAATATTTAATTTAATGTCAAAGGAGTTAAAGAACTCTAATATAATATTACTTTGACCAACTTTATTTCCTTTGGGTTAATTGTACAGGCAAAGTTCAAGTCTCAGTCAGTGGCAATTATGGCGCTGTTTTTCTCCCTCACAACCCCGCTCGGAATTGTGATCGGCATAGGAATAACAAATCGATACGACGAAGATAGCCCGAAAGTTTTGATCATAGAGGGCATATTTAACTCTGCTTCGGCCGGAATCCTGATCTATATGGCTCTGGTAGATCTGCTCGCCGCCGATTTCATGAGCCCAAGAATGCACAAGAATCCCAAGCTCCAATTTGGGGCTAATACTTCCCTTCTTCTTGGCGCTGGTTTGATGTCTATGTTGGCCAAGTGGGCTTGATAGCCCATCTTGTTTTTTAAAGTTATCATCAAACATAATTCTAAATTAAAGTTAATGATAATGAGTTTTGATACTATGTTTATATAATTAGACAGTTTATTTCGAGGAGCAGTGAGGGGTGGACTATAAGTTTGGAGGATTCAAACATATATATATATATTTATATTGGGAAATGATATATATATATATATATATATATATATATATATATATATATATATATATATATTTTCTATCAATTATATGATTGTCACATTTCATCTTTTAATTGTTTGCGATGATAAAAAGTAACTTTGCTGGGCAATAGATGAATAAAAAGTGACAAGTGTAATTATGGGACATAAATTATTAATTCCCCACTAGGAGATTGTTCACGGTTTTTAAGGAAAAATTATCCACATAGATAAAAAAATAAAAAAAAATAAAAAGAAGCAAGTGAGGACATCTTCACTAGATAAGTTTTTAGCACAAATTTTTAGGTGCCAAATAAGAAAGATGAGGGAGAAAAATGTGTGGCAAAAAAAAACTGAAAAAATTCTTGACCCACAAACTTCATTCTATTTCTTGGTGGGACCCACAAATTGTGAAAAAAAACTTGGTATTTGAAGGAGCCCACTCATTCTCTCTCCTCCCTCTCTCTCTCTCCCAAGTTGGTATTTTTTCTTAAAAATTTGTGAACAATCCCCTTAATGGGATGCTTTGAGAGAATGCTTGGGATCCTCTTGCTAATTTGGAAAGGATTAGCTGCACGCCATTTGTGTGAAGAACAAATCGAGTCCAGCCTGGCGCGTTAATTATCTTGTTTTTTTGTTTTTTTTTTTTTCTAATTCAGCTTTATTTTTTACTTCTTCTCTCTTTTTTTTTTTTCCTAATCACGCTTATAAAAACTCATCAAAAATTCTATTATTGAGGATGCCTAAGAGTGTAAAGTATTTATTATATTGTAAAAATGTTAACTTAATTAATGACATTGTTATTTCATGTTTAATATTTTTCGCTTAAAATTAAAAGCAAAAATCTTTTCATTACTTTTAGGGATCACAATTTGTCCCGTTTCCGGCCCTAAAATGAACGGGGATGGAAAAAATTTTCGGAGAGAGAAAATGTACATAATTCCCCGTCGAGCCTGTCCCCGAATAATTATTATAATTAAAAAATTATATATATATATATATATATATATATATATATATATATATATATATATATATATATATATAAGGTAGGGTTCCAGTGAGAACATGTGCTTAGGTGGGAACGTGAGAACACATCATGTGCATCCATCTAATATTTTTTAATGGTCTAGATTAGATTAAGTGTGTGCGAACGCGCATAAAATATGTGCAAACGCGATTTAGTGTGTTTGCACACATTTAATGCGCGTTCGCACACACTTAATCTAATCTAGACCATTAAAAAATATTAGATGGATGCACATGATGTGTTCTCACGTTCTCACCTAAACACATGTTCTCATATGATCCTAACTCTCTCTCTCTCTCTCTCTATATATATATATATATATATATATATATATATATATATATATATATATATATATATATATATATATATATATATATATATATATATATATATATATATAGAGTTAATACCCAAAATCGTCCTCGACTATAGTGGTTTTTCTCAATTTCGTCTTAAACGACTTTGGTGACCTAATATCGTCCCAGACTTTTGTGTTTCACTCAATTTAGTCCCAGACTTTTGTGTTTTTGCTCAATTTAGTCATTCATTTGTTATTCTGTCCATTTGGTGTTAAATAAATAGACAATTCATTAATTTTAATATTGGCATCTCTTTACTCATAGACATGTGAACTGCGAAATCTTTTTTTTTTACGAATTACTCCCAGAATTACTTCTAAAACTGCGAATATAAAATTTGATTGCAGATCCGGGAGTAATTCTGGGTGTAATTCGTACAAGAAAGAGGAATTTCGCACTTCACAAGTTGAAAGTAAAGAGAGATCAATATTGACATTACTGAATTGTCCCTTTATTTAACACCAATTTGACGGAATAACAAATGGAGGACTAAATTGAGCGAAACACAAAAGTCTGGGACGATATTAGGTCACCAAAGTCGTTTAGGACGAAATTGAGAAAAACCATTATAGTCGAGGACGATTTTGGGTATTAACTCTCTCTCTCTATATATATATATATATATATATATATATATATATATATATATATATATATACCTTAATTTTTAAAATTAAAAATTACATCGATTTAAGATTTTGACTAAGAATTGATCGGGAACGATAATGATGATTATTTTCAATTTCCCGCTAGAGCTGAAAATGGAGACGGGGACAAAGTCGAGGTTTTGAGACAAGAACAGGCATCCCTACTCTTTAACCATTTATACTTACTCAAATCAGAAAGTATTACTCCAAATTATAATTGAATTATTTATTAACTTTGATGGTGTGTGGAGATTGAATCGGGTTTGAACTGTGACCACCTTACACTATATTAGTTATTGAGTTAATATCATATGAGCTTCGATGAGAATAGTGATTTTATCACGTTTAATTATAAACATTCAAATTGATCACCTTCAGTCATAAATAATTTGAAAGTCAAAAAATTACGAGGATCAATTTAAAAGTTTAGGATTAAACGTGACAAAACTATTACTTAAAGGATTCCATATGACATTAGTTGATTGGTTATTCAATTAATTTGTATACATTATTAATTTTGTAAATATATAATCTTTTAACTAAATTAACTGGTAATAGATTTTCTAATAAAAGTTTTGCCGCTGGATTTTAAAAGGAATTAAAGTATTTAACCCCCTCCAAAAAAAGAAAAAAAAAAAAATCCTTTATCGGACATCAGTACATGCCTTCTTCCGTCACCGATCGATTTCGAACGGTTTGACTGCTAAAATTGCTCGATTGAATACCGGAATTGAATCCCGGTAGCCGGAACTGCTAACAACGGTAGTATATACAAATGGCGGATGCGAATCGACCTGAAAGAGTACAATCATTAGCTCAGAAAGGTGAAGCCGTTGTGCCGCCGATTTACGTGCAGCCGCCGGAGAACAGGCCTCGAACCAACTGCAATGACTCTATGCCTCCGGTGCCGACGATCGACCTGAGCGCACCTACTGAGCTCCTCATCGGCGAACTGCGGCAGGCGTGCCAAGAGTGGGGAGCTTTTCACGTCGTGAACCACGGCGTCGCTGTTAAATTGCTGGATGATGCTAGGCGCGTCGGCCGTTCTTTCTTCCATGACTATCCCATGGCGGAGAAGGCGAGGTATTCCTGCGATCCCAATTCCCCTGCTTCCGAGGGCTACGGCAGCCGCATGTTGGTTGCTTCAAACGACACCGTTTTGGACTGGAGGGATTACTTCGACCATCACACCCTGCCGCTCTCTCGCCGCAATCCATCTCGCTGGCCCCACTTCCCTCCCGATTATCGGTATACTTCGCTTTCTTCGACTTAGATGTCTGAAAATTTTCGCTGTTCGGCAATTACTGTAAATATGTCCTGCATAATTTTTAAATGAAATTGGAAATGGATGGAAATGAAACACAGCAATTGGTAAGATAATTGACAAAGGGACTGAATTCAAGAGCTATCAATTGATTCTTCTGTTCAAATGTATTCCAACAATCATATAAACAACTTGTTTTGGAATAAGTCACTGCCTAACAATTTTAAGTTTGGCAGAGAGGTTGTTGCACAGTACAGTGATTGTATGAAAGTCCTTGCTCAGAGACTGTTGGGTTTGATCTCCAAGAGTCTAGACCTGCCATCTTCTTGCATTGAAGATGCAATTGGGGAATTTTACCAAAACATTACTTTTAGTTACTACCCGCCCTGCCCACAACCGGAGCTTACTCTTGGTTTGCAATCGCATTCTGACTTGGGTGCTCTTACTCTTCTCATCCAAGACGATGTTGGGGGGCTTCAAGTTTTCAAGGATGGAGAATGGGTAACTGTGCATCCATTATCCGATGCTATACTTGTCATCTTGGCGGACCAAACTGAGGTATTTCAAGCCCCATTAATGTCGTATCACTGAGTGCTAGCAATAAATATTATGTTTGACTTGTTAGGAACTTCTATCATATTTTCTTTGTTGGTTATTACATGAAAGTTCTATGAGAATTTCTGGTGGAAGAAGCTGAAGTATTAGTGATCAAGCTTCATAGGACTTGTAGGATTAGGGAAAAAATGTTTTCATGCTTTGTACAGATAGATCAATGATCAATCTAGAAATTGTTCGGTGTTTTTTGCCTCCACCCGTTAATAACTAAAAATGATTCTGTCTAGTTAAAAGGTTTACAAGAGCATTTGGCCTAGTGTCTATTTGAGTTCTTTACCTGCATTGCCTCATTGGCCATTGCTGTGAGCACAAGGACTCGAAGTGAGAGTGCTTAATCAGAATATTTGGGAAAACATACTCTTCAATCTTCCAAATTCTCTGTTATGACAACAATTCACTATTCTTGAATTCTTGACAATGAGCTTTATTCCTTAGGTGTGCTTTCTGCTGCTACTTTCATTCTAAATGGTCCTAATTCTCGACTTCTTATTTAAGCATGCGTGTTTTTGTTCATTTTAGTAGAACTAGACTAGATGTTTTTGTACTATGATCTTGTGAAAGGGTTTCTAGATGAATCTTGTGACCTCCAATTGGGACCAGAATCAGATGTGAAGTTGGCTTATAATGTGCTGATAAAGTATTATATTTCAGAGCTTTTCTGATTAGTAATTTAGAATCTGTATGAAAGCCTTGAACTTGTTCCTTTCTGAACAGTAGAAAACAATATATAGAAATATTGTCCCCTAAACTTTGCTTCTTGGTTCTCTCATTTTTGCAGATAATAACTAACGGAGAGTACAGAAGCTCTCAACACCGCGCCATAACTAATGCTGAACGCCCCCGCTTCTCAATTGCTACATTTCATGACCCTGCAAAGACTAGAAAGATTTCCCCTGCCCTACATCCACCAAAATACCGCGAAGTGATGCATGGTGACTATGTATCATCATGGTACACAAAAGGCCCAGAAGGAAAGCGGAATATTGATGCCCTTCTTCTTTAATTCGTAAGTATTATTATTCATAATGTCCAAATTCACTATCCTACAACATGAAAAAACCAATCATCCTCTTGGTTCTTACAGCAGATTCTGGGAAAAATGGTCCTTTGAGAGGTAGAGCAACTTCAGTTTACTGTAACTGAATTATATGCAACATTTATTCATCTATGCTCAATTGCTTATGCCCATACTGTGTTGACACTTGACAGAGTATTAGTTATTGACAGTGTCATGGATTCGACTCCCCACATCCATACAAGATGATCTGCCCTCTATTGCAATGTAAAATAATTTGTAATAATTGTAATAGGTATATAATTTATTAACTGAAACTATATAATAAAGAGTTAATATCCAAAATGGTCCCTAGACTATAGCTAAATTTACAAATTGGTCCTCGACTTTTAATTTCAACCAATTAAGTCCTTAACTTTGCAATTTTAACACAATTTGATCATTTGTCTATTTGACCGTTTGTTGACTGTGCTTTTTTAGGATATATATGTAATTTCATGGTCCATCGTCGGTTTTTTAAGGTTCCGGTTGCATTTCTAGACCACACTGTTACATTTGAATCCACTGTCGACGCTGCACCCCATGCCGGAGAGATTATAACTTTTGATAAATAGATGGCCGAAGTCCCTGGAGTGGCTCTTCGAGAAAGTCGTGACTCCAAGCGATATATGCAAGCTGAACCGTCTCGGGATCCCCAAGCAGCAAGCGCAGAAGCACTTCCCCCCTCCGAAACAACGATGTCACCTCCAAGAGCGTTCTCTTGAGCTTTGCACGTGAAACTACATATATATCCTCAAATATCGCGGTCAACAAACGGTCAAATAGATGGAGGACCAAATCATGTCAAAATTACAAAGTTAAGGACTTAATTGGTTGAAATTGAAAGTCGAGGATCAATTTGTGAATTTAGCTATAGTCGATGGACCATTTTGGGTATTTACTCTTTAATAAATTAACTGTAGGTACATAATATCTTGTTTTAGAACAAGATCTAAAATACAAGTTGAATCATGATCCATGGTATAAACCGTATAATTTGATCATTTCATATTACTTTTGGGAATTTTATATATTTCCTAAGATAATATGATAGTTTTGAACACATAACTTAAGTGAAATGCACCCTAATATGCTTAATATGAAATTGTCACATCAATATCTTTTTTTCTTTTGAAATAAAGGATTGGATAACCCTCAAGTTATTTGAAAAAAAAAAAAAAAAACCTTGTTTGGACATTCAAATTACAAAAAGAACTTTGAGTAATGTCCAAAAAGTTTGTTTATACTTTCAAATGACAAAATACTTTATGTAATGTCCAAAAAGTTTGTTTGCACATTAATTATTGTTGTTGTTGTTTTTATCCCTAAAGTAATAAAATGTGCAAATTATATTATAGATCAGTGTTCATTTTGTATTGTGTACTTAAATTCAAAATGACTTGAATTATATTTACTATTAACATATTATGTATTCTATAATGTATTGTATTTTATAACAAAAACAAAAATACCATTTGAACTACAAAATTTTTAAATGAATGCAATAGTACATAAGTTTGTTATTAGTATAATGCTAAAGTCATATCAATTATATATTTTACCTTTTATATTTTCAAACTTTGAAGATAAACATCAACCATACCAAGATTGTAATGTGCATTAGAAATTATACAACCAACAAAATATTACTCCGTATAATTTTAAATATAAAACTATAAAAATTATGAAAATAAACATGTCTATAATTTGCTATGAGAATCAATACCGCCCCCACTGAGACTCGAACCCAAGTGGTCTAGTGACACCAAGTTATTCTCTCATATGAGAAGTTATGAGTTCGAGCCTTAGTGGAGGCAGTACTTCCCCTCTTCATGGACCGGTGGATCTTGATATATATGGCTCCGGTGGATCTGTTCGCCGCCGATTTCATGGACCCAAGAATCCCAAGCTGCAATTTGGGGCTAATGCTTCCCCTCTTCTTGTTTGATGTCTATTGGCCAAAGTGAGCTTAATCGCCCTCCTTCCTTTCAAATAAGGGATGAAAAGTTGCAAAACATTTATTAGCTTGCACAAATATAGTATTAAGACAATTAGTTGATATCTGATTTTGTTAGCTGTTTTGATCGGTTGCTGATATTAGATAATTATTACAGAAATGTGTTTGGTAAATTAGATATTTACTTTTTTTGGATTATATTTAAAATTTAAAATAACAATAAAAGGTGATACCTATATTGTGTTATTACTTAATTCTTAAATTACTTCTACAATTTTTATTATTGCTGTTGATATTATTAATTTTGTTTTAAGTTTTTTTTTAATTAATAATGTTATAATTATAGAAAAATATTCCGTAATTAATAATAGTAATAATTTAATATTAAAAATATAAATTGAAATACAAATAGAATAAACATGACTTGTTAATAATAATTCAACATAATGATTGTAATGATTAACATAATTATGTATATAAAAATGTGTCACGGACCGAAGATAAAATTATATGTCAAACTCTAAGTGAGTTATGATGATATTAAAAAGAGTGAATACCTTTAATGATCTTCGAGTATTGATGTATTACCAGTTATGATACTAAACTTGTTAAACCGATCAGACCAAACAACAAGTTTCGTCTCTAAGATCTCGTAAATAAAGGAGCAGGCTTTATCTCTAATCGAGATAAAACATGATTTGATCTCAACGATGAGTGTGACTAAGATTTTTTAAAGAAGAAATGCTTAGATGTATAATAATTTTAGTAAATGTAAATATAAATGATAAAGAAAATGATCATAGTTTGGTAACATGGGAAGCATATCATTTGGTCTGGTTGCATGCTTTTAACTTATTAAGGTGGTCAACTATTTTATTTATTTATTTTTTAAGTTTAATGGCTTAATTACATTGTATTGTATATTTTAATAATTAATTTAAAATTTTTATTATTATGTAAATACAAGTATTGAAAATTTTATGTATAGTTATTACAAACTTTCTTGTAAATCAAGTATAAATGTGTATTAAAAAAAAAGTATGAATGTATTTAGCAAAATATAATTTAGAACTTTTATAATGTATTGTAATTTGCAAATTTTAACTGATGATGCCGGAGTAAATTTATCCGCTAAACAGCCAAACCCTAAATACCGGAGCTCTACATTTTTCAGTTGGGATTGGATTTCAACCGTGAACAAGAGGGGGAGAGAGAGCCATCGAAGGATTGAGAGAAGAGAAGCGGAGGTTTCAGAAACCCTAAGCGCCTTAAGCTTCACTGGAAATCGCAAGCGTCATCCTCGACAGCCATGGATGCTATAAGGAAACAGTTGGATGTGCTGATGGGAGCAAATCGAAACGGAGATGTAAGGGAGGTGGATCGGAATTACTTCGACCGTGATGTCTGCCGTCTCTTCCTCTCCGGCCTATGTCCTCACGACCTATTTCAACTCACCGTACGTGAAAACAATGAATACACTTTCATTGCATATTCTTCACTGCGGATGCATGTATGTGTTTGAAGCACATTCTCCGTTTCTGTTTGACTTTATGTTGATATTTTCTCAATGCAGAAAATGGATATGGGACCATGCCCAAAGCTGCATTCATTGGAGTTGAGGAAAGAGTATCCTCAGTGTGACTTTGATGTTTCCTGCATTTATGTATTCTCCATTTGTTTATACGAGAAGTTTATCTTTCAACCTGACTTAAAAATATTATATCTACCTATGATGTGTGTGCCCATGCTTGCCTCCTAGGTATCCAACAAAAAAAAAAAAAAGAGAACAAAATTTATTGAGATGAACTCGTTGATGATTAGACTAAGAACTTTAGTATGGGATTGTTTAATTGTAATTCTTGTTGGTTATTTTTATAATGTGTGTTGATTAAGTTCTCTACATTGATCATATATCGAATATGTTTCTTTTTGGTTGATAGTAATTTAGTATTTCCTCTTTTTTTTGGATACTTGAAGGGAGATATGTTTATTGTTTCTGGTGGTGATTGATAATTGTGTGTTACAATCTGGAAATCTTCTTTGCTTTGGTCAAAATTGAGTTATGGTCCCTCTACCCATACTTTTGGATATAGAATCTCTCCGTGCTACCTTAATCTCGACTATAGATACGAGGAAGCAAAATCAAAGGGTGTTGATAACTATGATAGAGACCTGGAGGATGTTATCGACAGGCTGATTGTTGAGTGTGATAGGAAAATAACCAGATCCCTCAAACGGCTAGATGAAGAGGATGCCAAAGCTGCCATAGCCATATCAGTTTCTGAAGTTACTCAAGTAGTTGTTACCTAAGCATATTTTAGCATTCACGGTGTCATCTCTCTTTTCTGTTCAGTCTGCTTATTTGTTTCTTTATGTGTTATCCATTGATGTTGCAGACAGAAGAGGTTCTTGAACTGTCAAAGCAGATTAAGCAAAAGTTGAAAGAAGCTGATCAATATGGTATTTTTTAAAGAATTTTCTCAAAATTCTGTTCATTATATCTCAACTATTGAATATTATCAGCGTCCCTATTATATGAGAATGTGTTTCCTAAGCTACATGCCTCTATTGTTTATGCAGATCTTGAAGGCAAGACAGATATGAAAATCCGTGTTCTTGAAGAGGTTGAAGAACTCAGAACCAAGAGAGCTGACAAACAGGTGCTAAGTGCATAAAGAAGATAGACCAAATAACTTAAAAGAACATGCTTTGTAATTTTGCTTGCTGTAACTATTCACATTTCCTGACAGGCAATGCTTCTTTTGGATGCCTTTAACAAAGATCGAGCATCTCTACCTCAGCCACTTCAAAACCCTCCACAATTAGCACCCTTGCCTGCTGCTGCCGCAGATCCACGCATACAGGAAATGATAAATGAGAAACTTAAGAAAGCAGAAGATCTTGGTAGGTCAATTCTTTAAGTGTCTGCTAATTGGAAGTTTTGAACTATCTTAACGTTTTTTTGCTTGGAAACTTCTTAAATTCGTTACATGTACTCCAAGAAAGAAGATGCTAAAGCTCATTTACTTTGTTTATTTAATTATCTTTGGTTTTCATCACACTTTTCTCTTTTGGGTTATTCAATTACATGAGCACATAAAATCCTTTTTCCCTCACTCTTTCTCCTGTGGTGGAAAGAATGCACTGAATTTCTTTGGTTGAGTTGTAACCTACTAATCTTTGATTGCTTAAGAGTTTTAATTTAATAAAATACTTTTTTTTTTATAATTTCTTTTTGATGCTTTTTTAGGTGAGCAAGGGATGGTTGATGAGGCACAGAAGGCACTAGAAGAGGCTGAAGCTCTTAAGAAGGTTTCCAATTAATTATTTTAATTTAAGAATAATGTTAATAGTATTATTGTTATCATGTCTCTCCTTTTCAGTTTCTGAAGAGTTGGTGTGCCCTATTTTCTTAATTTCCTCTCTATTTCTCTACTTGTTGCAACATATACCTTTTTATTTTTTATTTTTTCATTTATTATAGCTGCCAGCACGGCCAGAACCAGTTCTTGATTCCTCAAAGTACACAGCTGCTGATGTGCGCATTGTAAGTCAAAATCTTTGCCCATTCAGGATGGTAGATGCATAGTAAATATTTTGGTCATTTTTTAAATGTATAACTGCATACAGTGATCAAATTGTAGCAATGTATTGTTACCAATGCATTCTGTTGATCCCTAAAAGGGGAAGGTACTCATTGTGTGGAATTGCAATAATCAAATATTTGTCTAAATGAAGATTTTTCAAATAGCATTTGGGTCCACATTTTTGTTTTTATTTGTCTAGAGTTAAGATCCAAATCACGAGTCTTATTGTTCATTTTTTAATAGTATTAAGATTCAAATTGTGGGTCTCTTGTTTCACTTCTGGCATTCCTAGAAGTTAAATGGAAGTTCTTTTTATTTTATTTTATTTTTTATTTTTTTTATTTTTTTTCTAGGGGAATTATAGTCAATATATAACATATATAACAGTTGGACAGTTTTATATTCAAGAAAAGGCAGATGAATTAATATTATGTTAATTCAAGCACTCTTTGCAAATGTTGGTTTATTTATGTTGATATTGTTGCTATTTTTGCAGACTGATCAGAAGCTGCGTGTTTGTGACATTTGTGGAGCATTTTTAAGTGTTTATGACAGGTAAGCCTTGTGAACTCTTGTTTCAAGTACTTGGTAGCTTTTTAGGGACAACAAAGAACATTTGGAGTTACGAGTACTTCAATGTTTGACATGGCGATTGTACCTCCTTGTATCAGCAGGCTTTTGGGCCCAGTTTTACGAGGATAATCTTTTGCAGCTAAATAATGTGCGTCTTTTTCTGTTTACTGTCTATCGTGCTATCATTGGCTAGAAAGTTCTGGCCCTTTTGGGGCAACTGTATTATTTACCCCTGCTATCACATATGATATGGAGCTTTTGATGACCGTTCCGTGCTTGGTTTGCGTTTGTTTTTTTCTTTCCAGTGATCGTCGTTTAGCTGACCATTTCGGAGGAAAGCTCCACTTAGGTTATATGCAAATCCGAGAGAAGCTGGCTGACCTTCAGGTATACACACAAATCTTAATTTTCGATCTCCTCATTTTGCTTTCAGTGAAACACCTTTATCAGGTGTAAATAAATACTTTGTACTTGTAATTAGTTCAACGGTGTGATTGAAAAAATGTCAAACACCCTGTTTCCATGCCTTATCCTGGAACATGAAGACTTCAGAATTAGCTTCATGCCAAAACTTGTAGTGTTTTACATAGGATCTTTTGTATGTAGCATTTACCTTAACTTTGTAATCTGAATATTTTGGTTCAGGTGGTGCTATAATGTTTCACTTTCTTCTATAGAGATTCTCAGTTTATATGACCTCTGTGAGTTTTTCTATCCCCAGAGAAAAGTGTACTTTTTGGATTGAAATATATGTACTTTCAGGAAAGTTTATCTTGTGTGATAAGGCTTCCTGATTTGTTTTGAAATTGATGGCAATATTAAAAGAAAATGGTGCAGTTTTGTCTAGGTCATGATTCACTAATTGTCTCTTGTATTCATGAAAAACTAGTGCACCATAGTCGAACTCTGTGTGTCCCCATCCTTCAAAATTTGTAGTGATTTGACTATTGACATAGAATGAATCAACAATTCAGACAGAAGTACAAATGCCTTCACAAATTAATCTTTTTAGTAATGAGTTCAAATATCATTGTTTAAATGACGGTTAAGAAAGATGACTGCTCAATTTTGTTGTATAGCATTCTCCAGCAGATTAACTTTTGCGTAATGTACTGATACTACTCTACTCTTGTCTTGCTCTTTCAATGATATTAGTTCCAAGGTTTTGCTAGTTCTTTTCTGGAATGCAAAAAGGATAGCCTTATGTCTCTACAATCTGTACTTTGAAAATATCTAAATTTTGAACTGGTGAGATTTATACCAAGAGGCTGACAGCAGAGGAAACTATTGTACAGTATGATACTTCTTATTACATCACAATCAACTCCTTATTACTTCTTATACCATAACTTTGACTTTGGACAAGGATTTGGCATTGAGATTAACTTCTTAAATAATAGTTAATTAAATGAGTAGTTCAAATTTGATTAAACAGCCCAAGAACGAATGTCATGGCCCAATTTATGTGGTCAGTGGCCTAAAGAAAAACATAACGTCTATACCAAAATTTTAGTTTGTTCAATCTCCACAGTGCTCAAGTTTGGGTATTGTAGAACATTCAACTACTTGTTATGATATGCATTGTTTATTTTAATGTGAGCAATTGAGTTTGCAATAGGGTTAAGGAAGAATATTGCTTATATGTAAAGGGTGTTTTTTTTTTAACCTTTATTTCCTTTAGGGCAACTTATTTCCTCTGCCCTCCACCTTCCAAATGGAATATGGATTAAATTATTCATTTATACTCAGCCTCAAATAGACTATTCCTCTATCATTAAATTCAATGTCATATTTCAACTTTACTTTTCTGATGATGAATTCACAGGAAGAGAGAAACAAAAAACGAAAAGCCCATGAAGAAGTGAGAAGGTGAAGCCCGAAAATTTTCCTCATTTTTAAATATATAAGTAGAGTCTATTAGTTGTGTTCTTCCTCTGTATCAATGTGTGTGTGTGATTGCTATTTGAATAACATTTTGCTTCTATTTCATCATGTAGATCTAGAGAACGAAATAGCCGGGACCGTGAAAGCGAACCAACCAGGGACCGAGGTGAAAGCCATGAACGAGGGAGAGATTATGATCGTAAGAACAAAGAGCGTGATAGGCACTATGACCGAGATCGCAGCTACGATAGGGAGCATGATAGAGAGAGGGAGCACTCTCGCAGCTATGATTCTAGGAGTCGTCGCAGATCACGGTCAAGATCCATAGAACGCTCAAGGAATTACAATCGCCACAGGTTCTCCTAATATCCTACTGCTTTGCACATATTTGGTTTTTCAATGCAATGTGACTTGTCTGTGCCGGATTGCCAACGTGTATGACTATATGATTTGCCTTTGCTGCAACTTCTCTTGTGGGTTGCACTGCTAGATTTTCTATACTATTATTTTCTTAACTTCTGAAAGATGCTTCTTAACTTTGTGGTAGAAGGTTTAGGACTCTACACTACAGCTTCAAGTAAAAAATTATGATCATTAATTTTTCTTTCTTAAAGCATCAAACTGGTCAAAAGCTTTAAAAATGTTAGTTTGTCAGATTTGAAGGTAATTTAAATTTACAGTTTACCATTCAGTAACCCTCTCCATGCTGAAAGATTTGGATTCTCAATCTACATTGCTTTTAATACGTTGATGATTGGAATGTGTATAATTGCACATTTGGGGAAAATGCTACTTGCCCTAAATCTTCTGACCAAATTTTGTCCCAAGTGATGTGGCTTGTTACAAGTCTCACAATCATTCATATTCATATGCTACGTGAGAATTGGCCAACAGGCAAAACCACTATGAGTTTATTGGATGAAGCTACAAGATTTGGCCTAAAAGATCTTAAGCATGTAGCATTACCTGTGATTTAAATTGTTTCCTTGGGGATTCAATGTTTTCTTTGAACTATCAATCATGTTTCCCTTATGGACTAGTCTGATTTTGTCTTTGCAACCTGCCTTTTTGGACTGTATTGTTCCCCCAAAGCAGCATATATCATAGCAAAATATATTTGGTGTGCTTATAATTTTGCAATGGCTTTTTCCAGGCGATACTGATTGCTACTAGCTCAACCACTGTGCATGGTGCAGCTGAAAGGGATGGGAGGAGGGATTCATTCTGATACCTGTTCGATCTTGTACTCAGGAGAGTTTGTGGATTTTCATGAATGACTTCATTTAAATTATTCCTAGTAGATTTTAGTCGTTTCATGGATTGCTAGCATAAGTCAAGATTTGAAAAACATACATCTCTTTTCTATTGCAGTAATATTTATATTTTTAGGATAAATGCGAAGTGGAATGATGATGATTTTTAAGTTTGATGTGTTTTATATTCAAATTGTATAAAATCTTGAATCCCACAATCCAACGTTGAAATTAATTATATTAATAGTATATACTAAAATTTGATTTTAAAAAATCATAACGTGGGGCTATACTGATCTCTCTATGTACCCAAGTTAATGCTATACCATATACTCTTAACTCCTCTTGCTTGAACTTTTGATCCTATTGAATACACAATATGCAGTTTCCATTTGTTTGAGTCATAATTCATAAATAGAATATAGATATAATGAGTTGATATCAACAGCCTATCATCATACTTTGATATACGGGATGTGTTTCGTGAGTGAAATTGGTCTAGTAAATTTAGTTGGCAAAGAAAATCTATCATCATACTTGTTAATGTATTTTCTTTATGTAACCTAACATCTAGTAACCCTAATTAGCCACAAAAAGATAAGAACTGAAGATTATTTAGACTAAACTTTACACAAATCAATAGAATCTACACATAAATTTTCAGAATAAGTAGTCATTATTCCATATTAAAAAATAAAAAGCAAACTATTCAATGCGACAATACCTTACGGGGGCGATTGATTCAGGTTATATAACATAACCAATGAAAATGTGACATTCCAAAGCTAACATTCCTATGTTTGGTTCATATTATCTTAGGGAATATAACATTCCCTCCACATAGGATTTTGAAGGGAATGTGATTCCCTTCCATTTCTTAGATTATGTAAGATAACCTTGGATATTTATACATTTTGCCATTTTAATTCTAATTATTTAAAAATATATATTTTATGTTAGCTTATATATATTGTAATTATATATTTTTTATTTTTATTACGTTATGTTAGAGCATAAAATAATTTTGTTTCTCAAGTTCAAGATTTTAGTTAATAATTTAAAATCATGTAATTATATATAATATCGTTATCTTATTTATTTATTTTAATTTTTAAATTTATTAATATATATATATATATATATATATATATATATATATATATATATATATATATATATATATATATATATATATATATATAAAACTCTAAACCAAACATGATTATATTACACATACCTCAATTTTAACCAAATACAAGAATATAACATTTTCAGGAATCTAATATTTCCTAAGGTAGTCCAACATTCCATGAACCAAACCGCACCTTAAAATTCTTTTAGATTCTCTGGTAGGCAGTTATATACTCCCTGTATTTTATAAAGCAAAATTGGTATATTTCAAGATTCAAAGTACAATAAATTAAAATAATGTAATATATATATATATATATATATATATATATATATATATATATATATATATATATATATAAACTAAGCTTCTCCGGATAACATGCACACATTAATCTCATCCGTCCATATAAGATGATCAATAATTAAAAATTAAAGAAAAATATGGTGACATGTATGTTTATATATTAAGATCCGCAAATGTAGTGTCAAATGTTTTCGTATTACACACACCTAATTATAGAAATGATAGTGCATTTTTTTCTTAAATTTCAATGCTTAATTATTTTAGATGGCTGGACAAATGAGATGAGCTCACATTTTCTTATAGAAAGTTTAGTTCTCATAATTAAGAATCGGACACACACAAACACACACACACACACACATATATATATATATATATATATATATATATATATATTTATTTATTTATTTATTTATTTATTTATTTATTTATATTTATGATTTTTAAGGAATACTTTTTCTTTATAGTGTGACTGACAAGGAGTCCACTTTCAAGTTTCACGCACCAAGTCATGAAGCAAATCTAAAAAAGCCAATCTTTCTTGATCTCAAATAGATAATAACACATTTAATGCCATTACTTACACTTTCCATTTTTGTAGTAATTTATTGACGTACTTATACATCAGTATTCAGTAATTTCACTATTAGATTCGATCTTAATTTATAAATGGGAAAATGACACTTTTTCCCCCTGAGTTATATACCTATATCATTTTTTCCTTCTAACTTATTGAAGTGGCTGTTTTTCATCCTGAAATGTTAAATGGACATATTTACCCTTAAACTAAATATTTAATTTATTTTTTTTCTCCAACAAATTATGCCATAATTTGATTCAAACCAAACAAACACTATAGCAACCAAACCGAAATATTCCAATTACAATTTAGAATCGAAATTCGATATTTAGAGTTTATTAAAATCGTGAACCGGAACGGACGGTTCATGTTTCGAACTGAAAAAATAAAATACATTTATTGTTGAATTTAGACTATTTTAAAATAAGAAATAAAATTTTAAAATAAAGACGGTTCAAAATCGCGAATCGGATCCAGAACCGCCGGTTCACGGTTCAAGATTCAATTTTTTTGATACATAATTTTAATAAATTGACATTTAAATATTGGATTCTAGATCTGAATTATAACAGGAAACTATTAATTCGATTGCTTTAGTATCCAGTTCAATTCAAACTGAACCGTGGTCATCCCTACGTATACGCAATAATTTGTTGGAGTAGTAAAATAAATAAAATGTTTACTTTAAGGGTATAAATGTCAATTTAATATATCATGGGAAAAAAGCATCATTTTTAGAATAATTGAGGGGGCTAATGTGCTTACCTAAATAATTAAGGGGGAAAAAGTGCTATACGTATATAACTCAGGGGTAAAAAGTGTCATTTTCCCTTTATAAATTCACTATTGTATTGACTAACTTTTGACCTTAACAATTTTTATTTTTTTTTTAATATTTATATGATATGATATACTAATATTTTCTATGCGCTATGCAAAAAATAGATGCTCAAATTAGTAATCTATATTAAAATCTTAGAATTTAGATATTTATATTATTGTATAATAATAATAATAATAATAATAATAATAATAATAATAATAATAATAATAATAATAATAATGTCAGTTATTTTTATTAATTTGATATTTATATTTTAGGAAATAACTTATATAGTACTCCAATATATAATGTCTATATATTATTATTATTCTTCCAAAAGGTTGAACCCCAACACCAAGGGCCATCCACACACCGATCCGACAGAGCATTTGAAAGAACAATAGTTATAAAAAAATATAAGAAAATATACGGTGGATGCATGTGCTTGATAACAATAATTATAAAAGATAACAGAAGTTATAACGATAGTGATATTTTTGATCGAAATATAATATAGTATAACTCTTATAGCATAATACTAGCATTTTGTATGCGTGATGCGCGAAAATTCATGCCCAATATTAAAACATTGATAAATACAAATAATTAAAAATTATAATTTGTATTATATACACACAAATAATATATATATTTTGTACACACACATATATAATTTATCATTCATAGAAATTTAATTAAAATATAATTAAGTATTAAATTAATATATAATGATTTTAATAAAATGATAATTAAAAAAATAGAAAAAAGATATGATGGATACATGTGTATGGTAATAATGATGTGTTATTAATGTTAGAATTAAAAACTAACGGTGTAAAGATAGTTTTGTCTAATAACAGTAAAATGTACACATTTATTTACATACAAAAAGAGAGACATAAATCAATGATATAACCTTAATTGAGACTTATTATAGCATATATAGCATTATATATATATATATATATATATATATATATATATATATATATATATATATATATATAAAAGTAACAAAAAGAAAAACGTCATAAACAAAGGGTAGAACCTTCATTCGCATTTATTACTCTTATATACTGTCATCTTAATTACTTAATTAGTATAACAGACCAACTCTTCGATCTCTTTCTTTGAATCAATTTAAAATGGGTAATTACAGTCGATGGCTTCAACCTGGTAGCTCACTAAGCTGTTAAAAATGAACCAAATCTGGACTTTAAAGTCAGGGTTTGAATAATTAAGGCTAAGCTCACAAATTTCCACACCAAAATTTGACTACAAGAGTTGCCCCTGTCATGGCTAATAGGTAGGAAATTCTTGCCTTCCTCATAATTGGTGAAAAAAAAAAAAAACCAATAACATATTTGGATGAGAAGGGAAATTCGATTTGTATGGGTAAACCTTGCTCTTATGTAACAGTCTGTAAACTATACAAGAGAGCTAAATCACATTAGAAAGACTATGTGTGACAGATTCGACTAAAAGGCTATTGGTAAAAATTAAACTCACAATATTTTAGTACAAGATCATGCCCCACACACTTGACCTTCTAGTCCTTTTGAGGCCAAAAAAAAAAAAAGAAGAAAAAAAAAAGAATAGAGACTATTTATAAATGTACTTTGAGGTTACGGGTACAAGATTAATTAACACAATATTTTTAAAAAAGCTTTTAATATATATTTTGAACAAATTGATCATTGTTGTCAATGTGACTAATTAAACTAAATAAAATTATTATTTTTACTTAACTCTTCAATATCATCGTTTTAAACATGTCATCTATAAAGTAAACATGTTTTACCTTTTTCATTTGATATTCACATGTTACATGTTAAAATGATAGCATTGAAAGGTTGGGTTAAAAATAGATTATGTGAATAATTGAATGCGTTGCTAATATTTGTACAAAATAATCTAATTGACCAAAATATTAAAATATGGACTATAATTGACTAAAAAAATAAGATAGAACAAAATTTACAATATGATAATAATGTTGGGGCCAACATGATATTTTAGCCATTATTAATTCAACCATTTTTTATTTATTACCTTTTTGAATGTATTAAATTCATTGCAATATGCCAATATGTATGAAATGCCTTCATATAAAGAGTGATGAAGTTTGGAAAAGTTTGATAAAGAAAATAAAGATATTTAAATTAAACTGAGTCAATTAAAAAATATTTATAATTCATATCAATATAGCGTGTTACCAAAAATTATATATTGCAAATATTAAATAATTTTTTCAAGGTAAAAATAAATTTATTTATTAACAATATTAATATAGTTCGCGGTCAAAAATTGTATTATTTTAATA